GAAACACATAAGACCCCAAATAGCCAAAGCTATCTTGAGAACGAAAAAAGGAGCTTGAGGAATCAGGCTCCCTGACTTCAGACTATACTACAAAGCTACAGTAATCAAGACAGTATGGTACTGGCACAAAAACAGAAAGATAGATCAATGGAACAGGATAGAAAGCCCAGAGATAAACCCACACACATATGGTCACCTTATCTTTGATAAAGGAGGCAGGAATGTACAGTGGAGAAAGGACAGCCTCTTCAATAAGTGGTGCTGGGAAAACTGGACAGGTACATGTAAAAGTATGAGATTAGTTCACTCCCTAACACCATACACAAAAATAAGCTCAAAATGGATTAAAGACCTAAATGTAAGGCCAGAAACTATCAAATTCTTAGAGAAAAATTTAGGCAGAACACTCTATGACATAAATCACAGCAAGATCCTTTTTGACCCACCTCCTAGAGAAATGGAAATAAAAACAAAAATAAACAAATGGGACCTAATGATACTTCAAAGCTTTTGCACAGCAAAGGAAACCATAAACAAGATGAAAAGACAACCCTCAGAATTGGAGAAAATATTTGCAAATGAAGCAATTGACAAAGGATTAATCTCCAAATTTTTTTTTTTTTTTTGCGGTACACGGGCCTCTCACTGTTGTGGCCTCTCCCATTGCAGAGCACAGGCTCCGGATGCGCAGGCTCAGCAGCCATGGCTCATGGGACCAGCCACCCCGAGGCATGTGGGATCTTCCCGGACCGGGGCACGAACCTGCGTCCCCTGCATCGGCAGGCGGACTCGCAACCACTGTGCCACCAGGGAAGTCTTTAATCTCCAAAATTTATAAGCAGCTCATGCAGCTCAATAACAAAAAAGCAAACCAGCCAATCCAAAAATGGGCAGAAGACCTAAATAGACACTTCTCCAAAGAAGATATACAGATTGCCAACAAACACATGAAAGAATGCTCAACATCATTAATCATTAGAGAAATGCAAATCAAAGCTACAATGAGATATCATCTCACACCGGTCAGAATGGCCATCATCAAAAATTCTAGAAACAATAAATGCTGGAGAGGGTGTGGAGAAAAGGGAACACTCTTGCACTGCTGGGTGGGAATGTGAATTGGTACAGCCACTGTGGAGAACAGTATGGAGGTTCCTTAAAAAACTACAAATAAAACTACCATATGACCCAGCAATCCCACTACTGGGCATATACCCTGAGAAAACCATAATTCAAAAAGAGTCATGTACCAAAATGTTCATTGCAGCTCTATTTACAATAGCCCGGAGATGGAAACAACCTAAGTGTCCATCATTGGATGAATGGATAAAGAAGATGTGGCACATATATACAATGGAATATTAGCCATAAAAAGAAACAAAACCGAGGTATTTGTAATGAGGTGGATGGACCTAGAGTCTGTCATACAGAGTGAAGTAAGTCAGAAAGAGAAAGACAAATACCATATGCTAACACATATATATGGAATTTAAGGAAAAAAATGTCATGAAGAACCTAGGGGTAAGACAGGAATAAAGACACAAACTTACTAGAGAATGGACTTGAGGATATGGGGAGGGGGAAGGGTAAGCTGTGACAAGCGAGAGAGTGGCATGGACATATATACACTACCAAATGTAAAATAGATAGCTAGTGGGAAGCAGCCGCATAGCACAGGGAGATCAGCTTGGTGCTTTGTGACCACCTGGAGGGGTGGGATAGGGAGGGTGGGAGGGAGGGAGACGCAAGAGGGTAGAGATATGGGGACATATGTATATGTATAACTGATTCACGTTGTTATAAAGCAAAAATTAACACACCATTGTAAAGCAATTATACTCCAATAAAGATGTAAAAAAAAAAAAACCATCTACAGAAGTTCAATTCCTCCCTAGATATATATCTTACAAAATATGTACAGGATGTGATATGCTAAACGCTACAAAATATTCATGAAAGCACTCAAATAAGGCCTAAATCAATGGAAAATATAGCTACACTGACTTCATGGGTTGGAAGACATAACATAGTTAGCATTGATTTATAGATTTAACATAATTCCAAAAAAATTCCAGAAGGAAACTTTATAGATAGAGGTAACCCAATCTTCAAGTTTATATGGAGAGGAAAAAAATAGGATTCTTGAAACACTTTTGAAAAAGAAGAATAAAATTGGAAGAATCATGCTGATTTTAAGACTCACTACAAAGCTATGGTAATCAAGATGGTGTAGTATTGGCAAAGGAATGGACATATCGATCAGTGGAACTGAACCGGCGTCAATAAATAGTTTCCTACAAATACGCTCAGTTGGTTTGTGACAAATGTGCAAAGGCAATTCAAAGGACGAAGGATAAGCTTTTCAAAAAAGGTTTGAACAACCGGTCATCTATATGCATAAAAATGAACCTTACCCTAAATTTCACATGTTATACAAAAATCAACTCAAGATGAGTCAGAGATCTAAATGAAAACATAAAAGTATAAAACTTTTAAGAGTTCACACAGGAGAAAATCTTCATGACCTGGTTATGCAAAGGTTCTTAGACATGTCATCCGAAGTATGATCCATAAAAGAAAAAAAATGATAAATTGGACTTCATCAAAATTAAAAACTTCTGCTCTGCCAAGGGCATTGCTAAGAGAGTGAAAAGTCAAGCACAGACTGGGAGAAAATATTTGCAAATCACGTGTCTGACAAAGGATTTATACTCAGAATATATAATGAACTCTCAAAACTCAACTACAAAAAAAAATAGCAACCTAATTTTGCTGAGAAATAGGAAAAAGGCTTGAACAGATATTTTGCCAGGGAAAATACACAGATGAAAAATTATAACATGAAAACAATTCAGCATCATTAGTCACTAGGGAAATGATAACTAAAATGATGAGGAAATACCATTCTAAACCTACTACAATGGCTAAATTTTTTTTTAAAAAGCCAAGAGATGGTGAGGATGTGGAGAAGCTGGCACTCTCACACGTTTCTGGTGGAAACGCAAAACGGTATTGCACTCTGGAAAACAGTTTGGCAATTTCTTTTAAAGTTAAACATATACTTACCATGTGAACCAGCAATCCCTCCCCTGTGTTTACCCTAGAAAAATTAAAACTGTGTTCACAAAACCCCTGTTCTCAAGTGTATCTCAGTTCTAGTCTAACTGTAAAAACTGGAAACAACTGAATGCCCCCTACCGGTGAATGGCTAAACAGTCCATGGTCCATCTCTAAAACGGGTACCACTCAGTAGAACAAAGGAACAAACTATGGATATGCACAACAGCTCAAATGAATCTCAAAATAATTATGCTGAGTGAAAGGAAGCCTGTTTAAAAAGATTAGGTTCTGCGTGACTCCATGTATATAAAGTTCTCGAAAGAGACAAAACCAAAGTGATAAAAAACAGAGCAGGGGTTGCCAGTGCCCAGGGTTGGGGAAGGCACAGTGTTAAAGAGAGCAGGAGGGGTACTTGGGGGTGATGCGACAGTTCTGTGTTCTGAAAGCGGTCATAATAACACAAATCTATACACATGTTCGAATTCTTAGAACTGCACACAAAAAGTCATTTTCCTGTATTTTCCCTTAAAAAATAAAATTAAAGAAAAAAGAAAAGAGTTGACAACTCTTGCTTCCAATTGAAGCCTAACCAGATATCAGCGGCAAGGTCAGTACTAGTTGCAAAGAGGGCAACCACAGACAAGATCTTCTGCTACTGTCTGAGCATCTCTACACGCTGGTCACTCCACCGGAGCATTTACATCACAACTCCTAATGTTTACGATCACCCTGGAAAGTGGGTTAGGCTCATTGTATAGAAAAAAAAAAAAAACTGAGGCTTAAGGGAAATGAAATAATTTGCCCTACATCTCGTAGCCAGTAAATGTTGAGTCTGGACTTGACCCCAGCCCTTGTTGCCAATCTCACCGTAAACCTACGTCTCCATATGACTGCTCACTGAAATGAAGAAAAGCAGTGAAAGCTATCAGGGAGACATTAGAACAGCACTTTGATTCACATATATCACAGATATTCTCTGAGCATATTTTATTGTAAACCCCGAGTTTGTTTGAAATTCTGGGAGGTTCAGGGAAATTTAAAAACTACTGCCATTTTATCAGAATCCCCCAATAAGTGGCTAATTTTCAATAGTATTGAATAGTTACCTCCAGTTACCTTCATTCAATAGTTACCCTAAGTGCATGAAGGAATCATTGCGACTTAACACTACTTGACCAAGTATTTGCTAATTTCACAAGTAGGAATTTATACATATGAAGCAAAGATAAATTGTTTTAAAATTTTCCCCTTTCACACACAGGACTCTCCTAAGAAGTTGTAATTGGTTCTTCCCACTTCTTCCCTTCACCCCACGACGAAAAAAGAAATTTCAAAAATACACAAAGTAAATCCATTTTAGAGACTGGAACTAAATATTACTTTTTATTTCATTATGATTATAGCTGAATAACTATCTCAAAACATTCTAAATATGGACTATGCACATTTTTCATGTACTGAATGAATGATATCTATTCTAAAAGCTTGAGGATGAATTTGCCTTCTTGCTTGTGAATTATTTTCAACTATTTTATTGGCTATTAGGTGTTTTTTCACCAAAAACTTTGGCCTGAAGTATTTTTGTCTCAGCTAAGACAAAGATAAGAAGCTACGGTCTCCAATAAAAGTGTTTTTTTGAATGTTCTCTAATTTCTGCTTTACTAAATATATTTTCTTTAAAAAATAGGTATTGGTAGATTTTGACTCAGTATGTGTAAGCTTTAATGCAAAGCAAAGCTTAGCTAATGCCTTCTGCTCTTTTACTGTAGAGAGCTGGGTGATCTATTCCATTACCCAAAGAAAGACAAGAATAACAAAAGTGATTTCATCATCCACACCTTCTTTTGCTTTTTTAGGAGTCCAAGTACCACCCTCGTCAGGTAAGAGAAACCTTCTTATCTTTTGTCACTGGGTTGGGGGGTGGGCTGGAGGAGGCCTACCTTCCAGCAGGTCTCTGGCCAGACCAGGTTCTGCCCCCGTGGACCGAACAAAGTCTGACAGGACTGCGTCCATATCAAGAGTCATAGGATCGTGTAGAAGGGCCGCCCAACACTCAGCCGAGGTGGGGTTTGGAAGCAGGCTAGAAACCATCCATCTGCAGGAGAGAACAGAGAGGCAAACATGATGGAGAGAAGAAACCAGTTCTGCTTGCTGTGCCATATATTTGAGCCAATGTGGGACATTGCCTGATTGCTTGATGTGTGACAGTAAATAATAAAAGTCAGACTCAAATGTCCTCCCTTTGTAGCTGCCACAGGAGAGAGGGGGCATTCCCAGCTCAGTGCTTTCTACTTTGCGTTCTATTTCAGTGACTACCGATTGAAAAGGTTGGTCTAGGTTGGTCTAGAAAAATTAAACACTGGCTCTTAAGATTCATTTGGAGTCGCTAGATTTCTAATCCCCTTCCAAGTTATGCAGACGTGTAACACTTCCACAAATGTAATTGTGTTGCCACTATATCCCACCTACGCCTTTATCACTGACCCATCCCTGTGCCCACTTCAGCCCTCCCCCTCACTTGGCTCTCAGGAAAGATTCCACATCAATCCAGAGTTGACAGAAATACTACACTTGCTGAAGAGGATAAACCATTCGCCAACTTTCCAAGAGTTGTCATACTCACAACAACAATCCAACAAAATTCATAAAGCTCTCAGATTTCCTAGGCAGAATAATCCCAGTTAGGGGTATAAAACAGTGCCCTGCAGCTTGACCACAGGCCAACTGTGCCAGCCAGTTGCTGGGGAAAAACAACCAGCACACAGCATGTGAGGGTGACTCCCACCAGTGAACCAGGGCCACCAGTGGTAACACAGTTATGCCTGATAAAGCACAAATGCACACTCTGTCTCCTTCAATAAGGGGTTGGCAAATTATGGTCCACCACTTGACTTGTGAATAAAGTTGTATCGGAACCAACCACGCCCACTCATCGTACTGTCTGTGGTCACTTGTGCACGTGGCTGAGTCGAGCAGTTAAAAAAGAGAAGACCATAAAGCCCACAAAGCCAAACACACTGGACTTCCCTGGAGGTCCAGTGGTTAAGAATCTGCGCTTCCACTGCAGAGGGCATGGGTTTGATCCTTGGTCAGGAAACTAAGATCCAGCATGCCATGCAATGCGGCCATAAATAAATAAATAATTAAATAAACAGATCAAATTAAAATTAAAAAACTAAACATATTTACTATTTGGACCTTCACAGAAAGTTTGCTGAGTAAAGATGATGGAAAATGTTATCCTAATGAGTATGTAATTAACTTTACATGTCGTGGGGTGAGTTTAAATCCCATGCTATTGATGAGTGTCCCGTTCCTTTTTCAAGATAAGCACTTGGATGGGCTCTGCTCAGAGGGCTAGGTCTGTGCCGACTGCTGCTGCTTTAGAGCCAGGAATGCTGGCCTAATCTCAGCCCCAGCTCTGCCCCTGTGATGAGCTGTGACATGCTGTGTAACTTCTCTGAGCCCACCTGAGCATTTGTAAGAGTTGGAGAAATAAGCTCATCGAAGGTGCCAGGATGGAGGAACGAGACAGTGGGGCCTGTGACCTCAGAGACATTCACTGTTACTACACCAGCTTGCACATGGCTATGACTGGGGTGTGATTTTTGAGCTGGTGTGGCTCGAAAATAAGAAAATGCTTTGACCTAATGTATATGGCTCCAATTAGAAGATTGCTGTCTTCCTTCTCTCCATGTACTGGGGCCTCAGCCAGGAGAGCCTCTTCTTTGGTCACTGCCACCTGGGGGACAAAGCAGAAGATAAGAGCATGTTACTCTCCTGACAGACAGGCAGAGGCTGAGGCTTTGCTTCGTGTCACAGGAGGTGCACCTGGGGCTCGGCTGACTGCCTGCATCAAGCCCGCTGCCTTCCTGGGCCCTACAGGCACCTACTTACTGGGTGGCCATCACCTCCCATGTCTGAGGGCTTCTGCAAGGGGGGTGGTGTCTCAAATTTCTTCCTTGTAGCAAGTACTTATATTTCAGTGAGGATCCCTTTCCCATTACAGAGCTGTTTTCAACCGTCATAGTAAGCACCTCATCAACACATTGAATCTTGCATGTTTTTATTGTTATAACACATACATAACATGAAATTGACCATTTTAACCATTTTAAGTGTGCAGTTCAGTGGTATTAAGTACATTCTGCATTATTGTGCATCATCGTCACCACCATCATCTTCAGAACTTTTTCATCTTCCCCAAGAGAAACTCTGTCTGCATTAAACAATAACTCCCATTTCCCCCCTCCCCCAGCTCCTGGAAACCACCACTCTACTTTCTGTTTCTGAATTTGACCACTTCAGGAGCCTCCTATCAGTGAATCACATAATATCTGTCCTTCGGTGACTGGTTTATTTTGCTTAGCATTGTGTCTTCAAGGTGCATCTGTGTTGTAGCAGGTGTTGGGATTTCTTTCCTTTTTAAGGCTCATCTTAGTTCAGGATGCTGTCACAAAATGCCACAGGCTGGATGGCTCAAACAAGGGACATTGATTTCTCACAGTTCTGGAGGCTGGCAAGTCCGAGATCAAGGTGCCAGCAGCTCCGGTGTCCGGTGGGAGCCCACATCCTGGCTTGTAGATGCCACCTTCTCCCTGGGTCCTCACGTGGCAGAGTAAGCAAGCGCTCTGGTATCTTCTCAAAAGGGTACTAACTGCATCATGGGGGCTCCATCCTCATGACTTTGCCTAAACCCAATCACCTCCCGCAGGCCCCACCTCCTAATACCATCACATTGGGGGTTAGGGCTTCAACATATGAATTTTGGGAGGTCACAGCATGCAGGCCACAACAAGGCTGAATAATAATCCACGATATGGATGGATCACACCTTGTTTAGCCATTCATCTGTAGCCGGACCCTTGGTTATTTCCAACTTTTGGCTGTTACGCATAACTCAACCTAAATTATTTCTACACTTACACCAGGTTGCCAACCTGGGACCAAGACCGGCTTTCACCAACGCTGCAATGCAGATTCATGCCCACACCTCCTCCTCTGTGCCTTGTCCTCCGCACAGACAGAAATTAAAGGGTGGGCTTCAAATGAGCTTTTCGCCACATTCAAGTACAAATATTTGCGTGCAAGAGGCTAATGTGCACGTCCCCTTGAAGACTTATTTCTTAAACCTAATGCCACTGAGGCCACACATTCACGTACTGTGACGACACAGGAGGAGCCAGGCCAGTGGGGACACGGGCTCCTGGCCACCTTGGCCGTCCTCACCCCTGCTGCCCCATGCCAGCCCTCCAGAGAGCACTGCTGGGCCCCTCGACCTGCCTTGCATGGCCAAGGCACCCCTGGCCCGTTCTAGCCCTGGGAGGGCGTGGGTGGCCATATCCCAGCCCTATATCTTGGCCCTTGGACAGAACTTCTCTGAGGGTCTTGCCTCCTGCCCTGGGGACAGGGGTGTGTCAAGCTGTTCCCGCTGTGGCTTTGCCTTAGGAGAGGCAGTGCAGTCTGGGGATGGGGCTTGGCCCTGGAATCAGTCTCTCAGTGCCAAAGTGGCTCCACCACCACTGCCTGTGTGGCCTCAGGTACACTGTTTAAGTTTACTCATTGGTGGATTAAAATCATAATAGTACCTCTTAGCCGATCTAAAGTTTGAAGGAGTTAGTGCATGAAACACACCGGCCCACAGCGCATGCTCAGTAAAAGCGAGCTATTATGCAACCGGTGATGATAAGGACAACACTCGCCTGCCCAGGTCTCCACTGAGGAACAGAACTGCTGACTCTGGAAGCGCTGAAGAGCTAGCCTGGATGATGGAGGGGATGCATGTGTTCTCACTGCTTTCGCCCAGTCCCGCTGGAAATACCAGCAAGTTTGCTAATTGATTACGTGTAGGCATGGATGCAGACAGGCAGGTGCCCGTTCCCGAGAGCACCAGAGGCATGGTGTGCCCCTACCTTGCCGAGTATCACTGTTCAGACACAGGCAGGATGACAGGCACCCTCCTTCCTGGCTGTACCTCAGTCCCTGAGTCCAGGGCAGATGGATGCGGAGGCCTGGAAATGCACAGTGGGACGCTGTGGAGAGCCAGGCAGGGGGGTCAGGGGAGCTGCTTCTGCACCCAGCATCCAAGATAATCCTGGAGCCTCCGTCCCCTTCCCTGCAAAATACAGCGCTTTGGCTAAGTGAGCTAAGGACCCTTTCTGTTGTAACATCCTGTGGTTTGAACGTCTCAACAAAGAGAGAAGAGCAGAAGTTTCTGCTTGTTATGTGAAAATTGATAAAAAATGAAACCGAGAGTCCTTCCTTCCATTTCTACATAGCCATGAACTTGCCCTTCTCCTGCTCCCTGCCGCCCTGTGAGGACGGCTCCATGTGGGCGGGGGTGTCTCTGTGGCTTATGCAGCAGGTACAGTGAACACAGCATTGTTCCCTTGAGGCCATGGTAGGGGGGCCGCCAGCTGCCAGCTCCCTTCCCGAGGGCCACCTATGTGCCTACAAGGGGGCTGTACCCTTGGCTCTGGTCACAAACCACCAGCATGGGGGCAACTCTCTGAGAACTAGAAGAGTCACTAACCACGTCCTGAGGACCAGGCCCCTGGCTAGGCATTTTCCTAAAAACATTTTGGGGGACACGCTCTTTATCCTTGAGTAGGTATTTTAAAAAATAATTTATGTGCTCTTTAAAAATATATGTTATACATTTTAATATATGATTTTATTTGTTTTTTTAAATTGGAGTATAGTTGATTTACAACGTTGTGTTAGTTTCAGGTGTATAGCAAAGTGATCCAGTTTTACATATATTCTTTTTCAGATTCTTTTCCCCTATAGGTTATTATAAGATACTGAGTTTAGTTCCCTGTGCTACACAGTAGGTCCTTGCTGGTTATCTACTGAGAAGGTATTTGCACGATTCCTCTCTGCGTGTGAGGTGATGGAGGTTTGAGAAGGGAGAGCTGGGTGGCACTGAGGGGATGTGCCCTGGTCTTCCTCTTGGGACAAGAGCTGTCCTCAGCCTTTTACCTTCCCCTCAACAGGCAGTGAGACTGAGGTGGCCGCTCTTTTGCTGGGAGCCCTGTGAGGGTCACCCGGGAGCCCAGAGCACAGAGGTCCTTCCCATGCCCTTCTGTCTGGGCAACTGTAGCCTGGCCTAGCCTGTCACAACCC